TGGGAATACCAAGATGCACCATGGGCTCCCGAGGAGTTCACACTCCTCATGCCCACTAAGTTGCCAAAAGGCATGAGCCCTGGAGGAAATAGCTGAGTGCCACAGTATGGGTTGAGGGGGACAACAAACTTACATTTTGGAGAGTTGGGGAACATTATCCTCCAGAAAGATGGGGTTGCTTCTTCCCATCCCCCACAACAGTCTTAGGTCCTGCTTTCAGTTCAAACCTTGCAGGCTATTGCATTAAAGGAGGTAGATGCTCCACCCACCCCTTCTCTACCTTGTGCAGCAGCTAATCTCGTTCTAGATCTAAATAAGTAGTACTTATTGAGCTTTTACAATGTGCTCAATAATTTGCATGGATTACTCTAGTTAATCCTCATAACAACTCTGAGAGAACTATCGTTGTTGCCCTCATTTTACAGGTGAGGACATAGAGGACCTACAGAATTGATCACTTGCCCAAATCACAAACCCTGGCAAATGCTAACCCCACATTGCCTGAATACTAACCTAAACCTCCCCTCCAGACTCCTGAGATGGAGCTTCATTCTGCGTACCATGTGTGGCTGCTGGGGAAGGACCTCATGCCAGACTACATGCCTGTTTCCTCCCTCGTTAACACCTCCAGACCCGAAAACACCCAGAAGCCATGCAGTGGTATATTCTTCTGCTACTGATAAAGGCTTCCTTTAAATGTGTCATTTCCTTCAATAAAGAGGAAAAAAATGTTTTTAGATTATCGCAGAAATATCCACCCCTACCCTCAAATACACTCCCTCCGTCCATCCCCACTCAAGCCCCCAGATTCTATACCAGGAAGCACCATTTGCTGGAACACCTCGCATCCGGCCTCAGGTCCCTGTGGCATAGGGACCTGAGGTCACAGCTGACCGCAGAGAACCACCTGCCAGAGACCCATTCACTCAGTCTGGTGACAGGAACACACTTGTCTCCTTAGAAGCTGGCCATCTCCTGGTTGTCCACAGTTACTGGGTGGGACCTTCATTTCTGTCTTGTTCTGTCTGTCCTCCTTCCCTGCCACTTTTTCTCTTATCTACCTTTGTCTATCTTGTTCTCTTTTCCTATCACTTCATTCATTCATTCATTCACTCAGTTTTGTTGGCCTTATTTATTGAGATTGGGTGTGATCCATAGATTTCCATTCTTGATTTCTCTCCTACCCAGGTGGCCCTCTGCTATGAGAGTCACTAGCTAGCTGCCCGTCAATAAGCAAAACCATCCCTATACCCTCCTCTGACCAACCCCAGAGCTCGGTTTACTTGGATTTTCCTGCCAACTAGATAATATACTCATATTTTTTATCAGCTTTACTGAACTATAAGTCACATAAAATAAAGTCCATCCATTTTAAGGATACAGTTCAATGACTTTTGGCAAAAGTATAAAGGCATGTGATTGACTACCAGAGTCAAGTTACAGAACAGTTCCATCACCCTAGAAAATTTTCTTGTGCCCCTTTACAATCAGTCAGTCCTCTCCCTTCACCCCTGGCTGTTGGCACTTTGGACATTTTTTAGCATGACATGTAAATGGCATCACAGAATATGTAGTCTTGTGTGTCCTGCTTCTTTTACTTAGGATGAGATTAAGATTTATCCATGCCATTGCCTGCATTGCCAGGGAGATTCCCTTGTGGTTATACCACAGTTTGTGGCATTTGGGTTGTTTCGAGTTTGGGCTAAAATGAATAAAGCCACTTAGAACATTCATATACGAGTCCTTGTATGGGCATATGTTTTCATTTTACTTTGATAACTACTTGTGAGTAGGATTGCTGAGTAGTGTAGTAAGTGTATATTTAACTTCATAAAACATGGCCAACTTGTTTTCCAACATAGTGGCATCATTTTACATTCCCACCAGCAGTATATAAGAGTTAGAGTTACTCCACATTCTCACCAACACTTAGTATGGTCAGTCTTTTTAATTCTACCCATCCTCATAGGTATATAGTGGTATCTCATGGTAGTTTTACCTCACATTTTCCTGATAACTGCTGATGTTGAGCATCTTTTCACATGCTTCTTGGCCACTTAATACATCTTCTTTTGTGGTATTTTTAATTGGGTTGTTTGCCATCTTCTATAAGGTTTATAAGACTTTTTCTGACATTTTTTTCATCTGTCTTTTCTTCTTCCTTCTTTCCTCTATCCCCTAGCTCTATTTCTTTCTCTCACTGTGTCCTTGTCCCAGTTTCTGAAACACACACTCCTGCCCCCAGAGTTGTCCACTATCTCCCCTTCTTTCCCTCCTCCTTTGCCTCTTCCCTCCTTGTCCACACATACTCTCCTTCTCTGCCAGGAAACCTCACAACCTGAGAATCAAGCCTCATTTCCCATTCCATAGCAGAAAGCACTCCATCACAAGTCCACTAGTTTTAGTCCTGGTGAGGTTCAGTGTTCCAAGTAGGGGGAAGGACCCCCCTCTCCAGGTGAAGACCCAGAGCAATAAAAAGACATAGCCTGGTGCCATGGAGGGATGGCTTTGCATTCTGGCATCTTCCCCCTCCCTTAATGATTAATAGTGTTTACGGTTAGAAGGGCTTTTTACTCAAACATAACACTGGAAAGTCATGGGTATTAAGTGAAATACATCCTGATTAATCAGTGGTCCAACCGTCTCCATGCACATAAGATTAATTGTTCACATAACAAGACTCTCCCTTGGCACATCTCCCAAGCCCAGCAGGGATTTATCTTGCCCAGTCACAGGGAAGGAGCAGCCTAGCCAAAAGCTGGCAACTTTTCTTCTCTGTTTAAGAGAAACTGGTGTGACAGTATTTGATTGCAAAGCTCAGATTATTTTATGCAGCATTAGAGAGCACCAGATGGGTGACTACGGAATTTTTTTAAGAGCTTATTGAGATATACTTCACCCGCCATACAATTCATCCATTTTAAAATGTACAATTTAGTGGGGTTTTTAAATATATTCATGGATATGTGCAACCATTACCACAACTTTACAATGTTTCTTCCCCTCCACAAGAAACCCTGTATTTTAATTGCCACTCCCATAACCCTTCTCATTTGCAACCTCTAATCTACTTTCTATCTCTACGGATTTGTCTATTCTGGACATTTTACATAAGTGGAATTATATAATATGGTCTTTTGTATCTGGCTTCTTTCACTTAGCATAATTTTTTCAAGATTTATCCATGTTATAACCTGTATCAATACTTCATTCCTTTTATGGCTGAATAATATTCCATTGTACAGATACACCACATCTTATTTATCCATTCATCAGTCAATGGACATTGGGGTTATTTCCACCTTTTGGCTATTATGAGTAATGCTTCATGTATAAGTATTTATGTAGACACATGTTTACATTGTCTCTTGGGTATGTACTAGGAGTGGACTTACTGGGTCTACTGCTAATTCTGTTTAATCATTTGAGGAACCATCAGACTATTGTCCCAAGAAGCTCCACTATATTACATTCCTACCCACCAGCAACTGTATGAGAGTTTGAGTTTCTCTACATTCTCCTCAACCCTTGTTATTATCTGACTGGAATGGTTTTCTAATCCTATCCTAGAACTGGCAAACATAAATACACAGCACACATATACTTAGACAATCATCAACAAAGAACACACACAAAACTACCAAGTCATGTATACTGGCACACACCTCTAGAGTTCACATATATACACATAGAATCCCACATAGACATTTCCAACCACAGGCCCTTATACAGACCATCACAGTATATATACACAGTCTGTATATATTGATATACAGACACATGCATATCAATCCAGAGACTCACATGTGTGAACATAACCAAATATACAATAAACCATACTGTCGCACATATGCATATAATTGTCATGAGTTGTAAACAAACATACACACAGAACAAGAGACACATGCACTCAATAATGCATCCCCACTTGCCCAAATACACATATACAAACAAGAGTTGTACCCACAAAAGTACAGCCCTAAAAAGGCACACACATATAGTTATTATCACTCATGGTGATGTATTTACTCTGGAAGACATGGAAATGGTTGAGATTACGTCAGTCCTTGGGTCTACTGTAAATGGCATCACAGTAGGTCTTTCTACTGGGTAGGAAGACCTTTTCATTTATTTGTTATTTAAGCTACAAGTACATATTGAGTGCATAGAAAAGATATCAATGAACAAGGGATAGTCCCTGCCCTCATGCAAATTATAGTCTAACTGCAGGGGCAGTCACATCTATGAGAGGTGGCAAGAAGGAAAGAAGCAAGGTCATGTGTAACACAGGCAGGGTGCCAGGAGAGTAGTTTCCGGGTGTGTCTAGCACTGTTACTCCCTCTCTCATCCTGGCAAAGTGAACACTATTCAGATTCACCTATTCAAATCACTGGTTAACTGGTATGTCTCTGTGTGTATTAATATGAGCACTAACAGGGGTATGGGCTCAGGACCTAGACTACCTGAGTTTAAAACTTGATTTCTTACTAATTGGGTGATCTTTCCCTCAGTTTCTTATTCAAATTTAGGGAAGATAATAGTACCTTTAGTAAAGATTAAATTAGATGATACTTGCAAAGCACTTAAAAGTGCCTGGCCAGTGTTAAGTTCTCATTAGTAGCCATCATATCATTTTCTGAGAGTAGGTTTCCATAGGAGGGCTAAGTGTACTGGGAGGAGGTGGGGAGAGACTGGGGGGCGGAAATCAAGGAGCCTGGCAGTGCCCTGTCAACTGGAAATTGCATGAGTCTTCATCTTCTGCCCATATCTGAGCAGTCTTTGGGAATGCAGCCCTGGCATACCACCCCAGCAGGCCATAAACCAGTCTATCTCCACCCTACTCTGCCCACAGCCACAAACCACAGAGAAGATGCATGATGGGTGGCACTGGGCATGGCTCTTGGTTTTCAGCTGCATCAGGCCTTTCTGCAGCAGCTTTGCTGTGGGCCTGGCTTGTGGCATTCACTGGTTCTGCTTGGCTGTCTTTTCTTTCTGTGTAGGTCAGCACTTACCACCCTGTACCCGCCTCCCCAGGACATTCCACAGCCATCGTCAGTCTTCCTGGATCCCAGCAACACCTCTCCGCCAACATGTGAGTAACAAGCTCAGCCCTCCATCTCTAGGTCCTGGCCAGAGTGGCCGTCTTTGCCATCCCTCTGCCATCAAGCATTCCCACTCCCAAACCATTCCATCTAGAGAGATAATAGCTCCCCTTCCTTTACATCTTTTAAAGGAAATCATGCTTAATAAAACCCCATAAATTGGCAAACCACATCCTCCTAGCTCATTATTTTCCAAGAATTGAAAGAGACTGGAAGATTATACACCAGAACATTGCTGGGAGGTTGGATATTGCAGTTTCTACTGACTTACTATATAGATTCAAAATGATGGGTCACAAAAAGATGTTGCTTTAGGACCAGCAGAAAATAAATACAGCATTTTAGAGGAGGAAAACCTGGTGGATGAGGACACACCCTCAGCCCCTTTGATAAAACCTTCCAGTGTCTCATGGTCCTTGGAGTCTGGAAGGACTTCTTGATGTCCAGCCTGAAGCCATACACTAGTCACCTGAATCTGGCAAGCCATCATGGGTTCTTTTTAATGCTTTTAGTCAGGCAGATTTTCTTAGTTTCACAGCCTTGCTAGTGTCTTCACCCCTTGACTTATATCTGGATGTTATTTAATCTGCCTGATCCTGTGTGGACTACAGAGTAGAAAGTCGCTGCTCAAACCCAAGGACATATTGTGATATTACAAGTCCATTCTCTTCTATCCTTCCACGAAGCCAGGATTCTACTATGTGCTCACAAACTAAAATCTGTTCCTCCCCCCAATTCTCAGGGTCTACTTCCTTGCCTACATTAAGCTAGCTCCCTGGGCCACTCCTGGGGCTCAAACATGTCCCCACTCTCAGGAGAGGGAGTGGATCAGAGAGGCTTGTTCTGACCTCTCCTTTCCCTTCACTTGCTGGCTACAACCATTTTCCTGGGTAATACTCTGAGCAGTATGAAAAAGCACTCTGGGCAGAGCCACCACTTCCTGTGTGAGACCAGGCTCTGCCACCAATCCCTGGTCCTGTATCTGTCCTAGGGCAATTTCCGCACTGTCACAATGCCACAGTGGCCTAGCTTAGTGATTCACAGTTGTGTGGGACTCTATGGAAGACTGAATCGGGAAGGGCAGGGATGTGGGCCCCTCCACCGTGGTTTCGCCATGCTCCATCACTGCTACCTGCCTTCCATACTGGAGTGTCATTTTTAAGAAGTTTGTTATTGCTAACCATTGGGACAGTGGTCCCTGACATTCCATTTCCCTTTACCCTTTGCTGGTTCCAAGCCCTCTGCTAGGCACACTCACCTTCTTCACCCATTCCCTTGTCTCCCCAGGTTTGTAGCCCTGCACTCCTACTCAGCCCATGGACCCGATGAGCTGGACCTGCACAAAGGAGAAGGCATCAGGGTCCTGGGGAAGTACCCAGACGGCTGGCTCAGGGGTGTCTCCTTGGTCACTGGGCGGGTCGGCATCTTCCCCAACAACTATGTCATACCCATTTTCAGGTGCGTCCCCTCCATTCTCAGGGAGCAGCGGCAGGGTCACCTAGGCCAGGGGCCAAAAAATAACCCCTTAACACTTTATTTTTTTAAATAGTAACAAGTTATCTTTTTTATAGCTCTTCACATTTTACAAGGACTCTTACCTCACTGCCTAGGCCCAAGAGTCCTTCTCATGAAATAGATGTTATTTTACAGATGAGGAAAGTGATGTACAGAGTTCAGCAACCCACTCAAGAACTGAGTTTCAGGTTTTAATACTGTACACACACACCAAAATCCCATTCATACCCTGCACCCTGACACTCCCATCTAGTTGAATAACGGAAACATGCGATGATCAGAAGACCCCTCTGAGGAAACTTCAGAACATCAGGAAACTTCTTAGGACATCAGGCCAGTAGGCGAGTTTCTATGACTCAGGCTACCACCTATCCATACACACCCCAGGCCACAGGCAGGTTACCCTGGAGGTCCGTGTCCCTTACAGTGCTCCTAACCTTTTTCATTCTCTGGCACATGAAACACTTCCCCTTGTCCAGCTGCTCGTACTGGAACCACAGATGCACACACATCCCAGCACCTCCCCCTCCCCCTCCCCCGCACCCCCACATCAGCCCAGGCACAGCATGTCACAAGGCTGTGAGGCCGTCAGCACACACCAAATGCTGGCTTTGTGACATACCTCTGAGGAAAGTGATAACCCATTATACTCTCTGGGAATCAGCCCCGCAGTCATATGTCCAGTTTGGGGGACCTTCATGTAGGTGGGGCACGGTGTCCAGAGGAGGGCAACAAGGATGGTGAGGAGACAGAGAAGCATACCACAGAGAGAAACTAGGGTTAAGTTGCAGAAGACGAGGGTCAGAGGGATCATAACAGGCTGTGTGGACTGGAAATCTATTTCCTGAGGGGGCAGTGAGCCGGCGGATACAACCTAGAAGGTTTTGGTTCAGTGAAAGGCTGCACTTTTTAATGCATAGATTTTTTTTCCAAAAAGGTTGGCTGGCAAAGTGATAGACCAGACCCCTTTCTAGGAAGAGTACAGGTCACCTCTAGCTTTCCGTAGATCCAGGCTTATATAAAATGACTTCTTCATATGGCAGAAGGTTGGAATTGAAGTTATTTCCTTCAGTGGAAGGTCCTTGGAATTTGTTAGAAAGTTGCAAAATCTCCATAGGCAAAGGAAGTGTGTCTATAACTGCTGCCTTGGTTCATTCATTCAACAAATAATTATTGAGCACAAACTATGTGTCAGGCACCTTTCTAGATGAACACCAGTGAACAAAAGACACAAAATCTCTACCCACTAGAGCTTATATTCTAGTGGGACAGACAGACGATACACAAGACATACAAGTAATATATAAAAGATATGTAAGTAATATATGCGGAGTGTTAACAGTAAAGGCTAAGAAGAAAAAGCAGAAAAGCAGGATAGAATTTGTGGCGTCATTGTGGGGGGTGACTACAGTTTTAATAGCTTAGTCAGGGATGGCCTTACTAATAAGAAGGAAGAAGGGAAGGAATGAAGCAGGCGTATTCCAGACCACAGGAACAGCAAGTACGGTTGCCCTGAAGTGGGAGTTTGCCTGACATGAAGGCCAAAAGGACTGAATTACAAGTGAGGGAGACGTTTGTAGTAGATGAGGTCAGAAGGGTAACTGGTGGGCCAGATCATCTAGAATTTCCTAAGTCATAATGAGAAATTTGGTTTTAATGCTATCACAGGGTTTTGAGCATAACAGTGACATGATCTAACTTATGTTTTAAACAGAATCCCTGTAGTTGCTGGCTTGAGAGTAAACTATAGAAAGAAATCATGGAAGCACAGAGACTAATTAAAAGCATATTGTAATAATCTGGGGAAGAGGTGAAACTGAGCTAAGGCAGGTGTCAGCCACAGAGGCAGTGGTTAAATTCTGAGTATACTTTGAAAGCAGACACAACAGGATTTTCTGACAAATGAAATATTGGGTGTGAAAGAGTAGAGTCATCAAGATGAATCCTAGGTTTTTGCCCTGAGTAACTATGGAGTTGCCTTTTAATGAGAGAGAGGGGTTCTGAGAGGTGGCAGTGGGGTGGGGGGGCAGCAAAAACTCAGTTAGCAGCAAATTAAGTCTTAGATGCCTATTAGTAATCCCAGTAGAGATATTGGCAAATGGTTGAGTACAAAAGCCTAGCATTTAAGGAAGAATGTCCAGGCTTGAGATGGTATTTAAAGCCCTAGGGCTAGATGAAATTATGGTAGGATCAGTTACATTGGGGAGAATGATAGTGAGCCAGAAACTAAAATCTTCATGGAATGAGCAGAGAGGCTGAGAGAGGAAATGGTGACAAGATAGAGTGGCAGGTGGTAGAGTCTGATAGTACAAGTCAAAGCTGAGGAGGATTGAGGAAGGTGGGAGAATGGTCTAGAGGTGCCAATGAAGAGCAACCTTAACTTATGAACAGTTTCCTCCATGACATGAATTCTCCATGATCATGTCTACTACTAGGGCATTTGCTTATGCATCGGGCCTTAACCCAAAGTCCTGGTTATTCTACAAAACAAACAAAAAACCTTTAGAATAAGAGTGACCATATAATTGGTCACCCAAACTAGGACACTTTTAAGGGAAAAAATAGAGGTACTTTTAATATACCAGGAGAGCAGGTGTAAACTGAGACGCTCCTAGGAAGAGATGAACAAATGGTTACCCTAACTAGAATGCATGTAGGATTCCATTCCAGTGGACTTCAAGGCTCCGGCTTCCCTTTCCCTCCTTGGCTTTTCTTCTAAGTACAAGTATTATGTCTGTCGGCAAGTCATTAACATCTAGACTCACCTGTTCCAAGTTGGCATCATGTCAGACAGTGGATGGAGTGTCAGCCATAGGTTGCCATTGAGTCTGTCCCTGATCTTGAGTTCATAGAATCCTAAACATATGTGTGTACTGAGGTGCTACCTATGTGGATGGGTGTGTTTGCTTCTAGGGAACCAGTATTTCCAAGAAAGTCCCTGTCAGAATATAGTCTCCAGGGAGCTGTTAGATGACAGAGGATGAGTGCTTTCTGTGTGTAAAGTTCTCCTTGATAGCCCCCTGATGCAAAGAAAGATCTTATCACCACGAATCTTAGACATGGGTGACTATGGCCCAATTTGTCTACCTGGGAGCAGTTCACCCTTGTTCTTGACCACCCTTTCCACTGTGGGTAGTTTAGCTCCTTCTGCCTCTCAGAGCTGAATGGTGTTGTCCTTTGTCTACTGAGTTTCCACTACTTTTAGCAGGTTGTGTTAGGACTAACAGGTTGGACTACATGTACACGGCCCCTTCCTGCTCTTTGGTTTTGTGTGTGAGGCTTTCCCAACCTTCTTTGTCTTTCAGTTTGCAGTGATGCCTCTTACTGCCACCAGCTCTCTTGGTGTAAAATATAGCCTTTTGTAAAAGAGCCAAGGCTTGAAAGTATGAGGCACCCCCTAAGCATTTGCATGTTTGCTCTTATTAGCATTATTCCCTAATGAACACATTCCTGTCACAGTTTTGGTACTAACTCTAGAGAGACTGACCTCCTCCTCCCATCAACTTAGCTGAGGAACAAACTCAGCCAATCTGATGCTCCCTCTTGGGACTTGGAAGCTTGAACCAGAGAGGAAAGAATGTGGGTGCAGGTAAAAACCATCCATGGCAAGAGCAGGGGTAACAGCATCTGATCAGAATCCCTGCCTAGAACCCCACTGCTGGGCTCTCGGCAGCCTCCCTTGGATCCTGTCTCCAAGGCCCCTCTGTCCCTCATGACCTCCCAGCACATTCCCTTCTTCCAGGAGCCAGGATATTTCTCTTTCTTGCAGCCTTTACCAGATGTGTATGCCCTCCTGGTGTGCTATGGGTGGAGAAAAGCAACACACGAGCCAACATTAATTTCTCTTACCTTTCTACACAGAACTGCATAAAGATTACCAAGGTGCGAGCTTCTGCCTCAGCAGGAGGCTACTGCCAGTGGTGAGCACGGCAGAGGGGGTTGAATATGATGCGAGCTCTTATGGGTTCATATCACAGATGGAAAAAGGGACACAGACCCGCACACTCAAAGCAGCACAGTAGAGCAAGTCAGAGGCAACATACATTCTTCCCACCTCAACCCAAGAGTGTCTTTCAATCTCTCCATCTGGAAAACAAGAATCAGAATGTTTGCAGGTCTGGGGTGTTATGGGGACTACTGCTATATATTAGCAAAGTACTTTGATACCAGACCAAAGTGCTGGGCAAGTGCTGAGCTTTTTGCCAAAAGACATAGAGGGACTCAGTGTGAGGTCGGGGCTTGGGATGTAGGAGTTTCTGGAATCTGGCCTAGTGCCAGGCTCAGAAAAATGAGGTCGTAGCTTGGTCTGTAATAGTTGTTCAAAAGAGGGACTTGTGAAATAAGGCTGCCTTGGGCCTAATTAGCTATATTCTGTCCTTGCTGCTGCTGCTGCTGTTACTGCTGCTGGGCTGTCTTTCCTGTTGCCAGCCCATTTTACAGGATCCAAGACCTTGAGACCTCCATTCAAAAGATGGACAGATGCAGCCCTCTGCCACAGAGGTCAGAGGCAGGGATTTCTCTCCACTGCCCAGCCCCCAGCTCCGAAATATAGTCTGAGCTCTTACCGGCAGGCAACCTAAACCTACTCCCTTCACTGACCACATCCCCAAGGACCAAAGACAGGTTGTTGGCCATGAGTAGGAGGCCCTGGCAAGCATCATTCCTGGGCCTCTGGCTACATCTGCTTCGTGGGCAGAGTGGGCCCCATTAAATGAAGCCTAACTTATCTTTGTATAACTGGCTGGCTTGTTGCTAAGCTCCATATCGCTTTTTTAGGCAAAAGGAGGAGGAGAAATAGGGGAAATACCCCAAAGAGAAACCTGTGGGCATTAACGGAAAGACCACCAGGGAGGGCATCTCTGAGCCAGGGCCTTGGGTGAGTCATTCCTGGGGAGTTAGCAGAGGTTATTTCATCAATAGGGTGACAAGCTGATCCATTGACTGCTCAGTAGGGACTGTGATCTTGGGGTAGGATTAGTAAAAAGGCAAGAGGGCCTGTAAAATAGCAGCCATTCCCCATGGGGTTCAGGGAGTAACAAGCTGGAAACAACGGACTAGGGATTTTTGTTCTATAAGATTTTAATACTAATCCTAAAACTCAGCCCAAGGCTGAAAAATTGGAATCTTCTGAAGGCTTGTGTAGGTCCTACACCCTTCTTTAGTTTATTTCTTTCAAGCAGAATGCAGTGTTCTCCTTGCTACCTAAACAATGAAGGCTCCTACCAGCCAAGTTGGGGTGTGCTCAGTGGTAAAATAGTGATAACAGTTCAGTGGTACAGCAGAAGCCAGCCTGGACTTGGATTCAAATATCAGGTCTAGTAGCTGGTTGGCCAAGTAACTCCAAGTCTGTTTTCTCATCTATAAAGTACTAAAAGTACCTACCTCAGAAGGCTGTTGTGAAGAACCCATGGGGTAATGTGGGGAAAGCATTGCCCAATGCCCAGAATCCAGTAAGTGCTCAAAATATGTTAGCCCAAATGACTGGCATCAGTGCTGAAAGGATCATGGAAGCCATTCAACAAACATTTGTTAATAAGCAGTATATGCAGAACACAGAGGATATAAAAGAGGTCATATAGAATCTCTTCCTCCAAAGAGTTTAGAATCCAGTGGAAAAGTCATTGAATGAATAAGAAATCAGAACTGGGTGGCTCAGTCAGTTAAGCCTCTGACTCTTGATTTCTATTCAGGTCATGATCTCAAGGTCGTGGGATGGAGCCCTGCATTGGACTTTGCACTCAGCACAGAGTCTGCTTATCCCTCTGCCTCTGCTCCTCCCCACCTCATGCTCTCTCTTGTGCTCTCTCTCTCTCTCTCTCTCTCTCTCTCGATCTCTTGATCTCTAAAAGAGATCTAGGAAGGAAGGAAGGGAGAAAAAGAAAAATCAGAACTGCAAAGCAAGTTGAACACATACAAGATCTTATGCTCTGAACCCATGGGGTCAGGAGTGATCAGAGCTGGTGTGAAGAATGACAAAATTCAAGTCTTCCTGTTCCATCAGGGCCCCAATATGAGACCCTGTCCCTGCCCCCAGCACACCCACACAGGGCCTCAGCTGTAGGAGGTGAGGCCTACTTAGTTAAGCCTGTGTAGTTGATAAGGGGAGTATAAATGGGTAGGAAGAGGGTGGAGAGAGGCCACATTTAGTATGTGGTTGAGAACTGAGAGTTTTTTAAAATAGGACTCTTAACTGAGCATTTTCTTTATTTCTTCTCTTTAAAATGCTTGCCACAACCAGAAAGACATCTAGTTTTCCAGATTCTCGGAGTCCTGGTCTCTACACCACATGGACATTATCCAACTCCTCTGTGTCCTCCCAAGGCAGCATTTCAGAAGGTGATCCCCGGCAGAACCGTCCCTTCAAGTCCATCTTTGTGCCCACCGCCATTGTCAACCCTGTGAGGAGCACAGCCAACCTGGGGACTTTAGGACAGGGCTCTCTTCGGAAATCCGGGCGGAGCAGCATGAGAAAGAGTAAGTGGTGGCAGAGAGGTACGTGCCTTGAGCTAAGTAGTGAGGGGATCTGACTCGGGGGTAGACAGAGCACCTTTTGCAAAAACGAAATAGTGGCTTTAAAGTATGCTCCTGTAAAGAGTGCTTTTGATTCCCAAATAGTGACTGGCTTTACTGGATGAAGCCAGACCAACTTAAGGTCACTGCCCTTGGTCACCCCATACCTGTACACTGAATGGCTGGGATGATAGCAGCCCTGGTGCCAACATATGAGAGCACAGCCAAGGTGGAGGCTGGCTCTAGTTAGGACAGAATAAGCAAAGTACTTGCTGGGTCAGTGCTTCTCAAACTATGCTCCAGGGAACACCTCAGGGGTGCCAAAAGGGAAACGGGAAGGATGGGGAGGAGGAGGCAAAGAGGGTTAAGGAGTCAATTCTCTGAATCTTGCTTAGTTATTTAACTAATATAAATTATATTCTATAAAAATAAGTCTTCATATCCTTAACCTCTGTCCCAAGTGCTCTTCCACATACATAAATAGTACCCTGTAATCATACCTACTGCGCTGTCTACATATTGCTTTTATTTTTACCTGTAGAACATCCACATTGCTCACATGGCAATACTTTTATCTCCTAACATACTGCAATTTCTACCTAAGACTTCATCTTCACGTATTTTGAAAAGTGTTTGAAACCCATTGTTCTACAAAACATGAAGATTCTACATTTGCATATGTCTCTTGAAGACCATGAGGCAAACAAAGTAAATTTGGCTTATTCTACATCCTCTCTTTTAAACTGGGCTGTGCAGTCTCTCTTCCATCTTAAAAGATGGTTAAATATGAAAATGCAGTACAACTCATCAAAGCAAGAAGGTAACATGTGGGACAGTTTTCCTGCCACACAGGAAAACATGCCAAGAAAATTCAAAGTCTTAGCTGCACCCTCTCCCACTGCCTTCACCTGACCACCTGCTTGGCCACCATTCCCACTGTGCTGCCTCTACCTGACCACACACCTCCTTCCTCCTCCCTCCTGACCTGCCCCCACCTCCCCCCCACACACACACACACAAACACGTACTAAATAATCCCACCACAGCAGGCTTGGGCAAGTGAATGGACCTCTTTAGTACCTACCTCATCAGGGCTATTGTGTAGATTTAACAAAGTAATCCATGTAAGACTGATGGCACAAAGTAAGTCTCAAGAAACCATAACTGTCTGTATAGGGTGATCATTTTGTCAATACTGTCATTGCTGCAACAACCAAGCAGGTCATCTTTGGTCCATCCAGTGTGTGAACTTGACTCAGTATTGACATGTTCACACTCGGTTTAGACCACTTAGGAGTGCTGAGAATTGTGTCTTGTTGGCAGTTGCTCACATTTCCTTTCACACACTCCTTCTCTGCCTTGGCAGAGATCTTGACTGGCTTGAAGTTTTGATTGCTTGCACTATATGCTCATGTGATAAGAAAGCACTAAATCTCTTGGAAATGAGAAGCCAACAAGATAAATAGAGGAGGCATAAAACTGATTTTTCACACATTTCCAGGAGCCTAAGGACATGTCTGCCCAGGGCTGCTTTGACTTTCTCAGGTCCCGAAGGCTTTCACTTTCCCTTTCCCCAAGGTGAGGCTGGCCAACCTATCAATCTCCCCACAGCAAAGAGAAATGACAGGAGAATTGACTGTGTACCTCATAGGGCTGTCAGTGGAAAAATAAATGTCTACATTGAAAGGGCAGACTTGTGTAAATGGCGCCTGGCTTGCTCACAGCAGCTGAGAGCACCGACTGTGTTTAGTGAGCGCTCTGCTTTTCACATTCACATCTGGCTTGACAAACAGTCGTAGCGCAGCCCTCCGTGCTGGACACGGATGACTCTGATTTGCACACATGTCTACAGGCTATCACAAAGGACTCACATCCCTGACTGGATGTCACCGATGGCTCCCTAAATGCTGGGAGACCCTTATGGAGAAGCGGACAACAGAGCTTCTCAGTAGTGTGTCTCCTGTCCCCTCCCCCAGAGTGCACTGAAGTCTCCAGTGTTCCCCTGGTCCCACACAGGATGGAGGCCCAAAAGGATGGGGGCCTCCTGTCCTCCAGAGAATTTGAGGGGAAGGAATGACTTCCTCTTACTGAAAGAGGATCATCTCAGTTAACAAAACAAAATAAAGCTCAAGAAAGTGATAAAATCACATTCCTGAGCCTTGTATATTTGTAGGGTTTGCTATTCTTTACCGAAAAGTAATGAGACCTAACAAACATGGGGCATTTATCCCTAGGCGCTGTCCTCACATTTTGCACTCATCATAAAATGTAAGCCTCCCAGCAGCCCTGTAGGGTGCTGCTGTCACCTCTGGTTTACACATGGGGCTGAGATGCCGGGAGGTGATGTGGCTGACTTGTCCCAGGCTCCCTGGGAGTAAGTCTGATTCCAGAACCTCTGTCATAGGACTTTGCAAAGCTCATCCACACATAATCCAAACCTTTCCAAATGTGCTTCCATGTGGTGTCATGTTTGCCTGCACACACTCTCCCTTAATTCCACTTACCCTTCCTCCCCACGGCCCCCAACAAAAGGGACCCCACTGCCACATGCCTACAGCTTCTGTTAGAATTGTCTCCCAATAGCTGGTCAGAGCCCCCTCCCATCCTCTCTGCCTCCCTCTGTCTCTCCCTCACATCCCTCCCCGTTGACTGACTCTTCTGTTTCTCAATTTCTTCTATCTCTTCTGCCTCCAGTCCTTCATTTCCTCTCTGGTTTGCATACCTCTGTTGGCTTCCCACAGTGAAGCCATCTCTTTAGGTTTGTCTTCTTCACTTTCCAAACCCTAGCTCTGAAGTGAGAGAGTAGGAGGGCATGTGTGCATGTGTGTGAGGGAGAGCGGAGGCAAATGGAAGCAATATACCTTCTGACAGCACTCCCCCCCCCACCTGCCCCACCAAACATTCGCCTAGGCAGTTACTTCCTGCCAGCATCAGCAAACAGCACTAAAAAAAGAATAAGGTCACCTCTGAAAGACCCTGAGAGAATGTGAGTACACTCCAGTTACGAAAGCACTTAACTATTCCGGGATATCAGGACACATGGCTTGCACAACCCCAACCCAACCTGCTGTCAGCAGCCCCCGATGCTGATATCTGTGTCATATAATTCCTCAGATGGATCCCTGCAGAGACCTGCCCAGTCAGGGATCCCCACCCTTGTGGTGGGCTCCCTCAGACACAATCCCACCATGGTCGTTCGGCCTCAGCAGTTCCAGTTCCACCAGCCACAGGGGGTCCCCTCCTCACCTTCGACAGTGGTGGCAGAGCTGGGACCTAAGCCCACTCCCACTGGAGAGCCTGCCCTCACGTGCGTCAGCAGGGGCAGCGACACCAGGATCCGCTCAGCAGCCAGTTCCCTCATCATGGAAGGCAAGGAAATCCCCATCAAGAGTGAGCCTCCACCTAAACCACCTGCATCTGCCCCACCATCAATCCTGGTGAAACCAGAAAACTCAAGAAACGGCATTGAAAAGGTAGGAGTGAAGTGACTTTAGGGGGGCCGGGTATCACCTATTTTGCACAGCGTCCCAGCTTCTGAGGTTAGTGGACAATGAATCAAAATCGCAGCTTCATTTCACACAGTGCTCCACACACACACACACACACACACACACACACACATCCCCAGACCACTCACACCCTCTGTAGATGTGCTACTGGATCTCATTTATGCTTCCTGAGTTTCATACATAGTTCTTTCGAAGCCCAAAGGTGAGTTGGAAAAAGCATGGCCTTGGCATCAGACACATCTTGATCTGAATTCCAGATCAACTGCTTGCTATCTGGTGACTTGGCCAAAACACTTAACCTTTCCTGAGACTCCTTTTGCCTAATCTATAAAATAGCATTAAGAATAGTAACAGCCACATAGGATTGATGTGGAGATGAAATGAGAGAAGATGTGTAAAGTGCTTACACAAGGGTTCATGATATAGAGGAGAAACTGAGACACAGGAGAATTTAAGTGATTTCTCAAGGTCACACCGAATTATAATAACACCAACAACTGACTTTTACTATGATGACCTCTATGACAGGTCAGATCTTTAACCTTCTAGTCCGGGGCTTTTCCCACTAGAGACCTGAGTTCTTGTTAAAATCTTAGGTTCTCAATAATATCCTTGAGATCCTTGAGGCCAAAGGAACAGTAAGATAAAGGTGACATTAAGAAGACTAGGTGATTGCTAGTTTTTAGTTTATTGACCATCACCCCAACTACCACTATCACCCTTATTACAATCACCACTACCAGCATCCCCACCACCACCATCACCCTCAGTACAATCACCATTTCCACCATCCCTACCACCATGACCATCACCACTATCACCACCACCACCACCATCCCCACCACCACTGTCTCCATCATCACCACTATCATCACCACCGTCAACACAGCACCATTACCCATTCCATCCCAAAAGGAAAGACAATATGGTTTCCTCTTCTTTGTTAAGTATTCACTGAGTGCTAACAACCTGGCAGGCACTGTACTGAGGACTTGACACGTCTCACCTCACTTAATCCTGACAGTAACCCTCTGAAGTAGATACTATTATTCTCAACAAGGAGGTATTATTACTGTCACCTTCATTTTAAAATGAGGACATGGAGGTGGAAGGAGTTACGGTACATTATCCAAAGGCACACAGGTGACACATGGCAGTGTCTGCAGTAGAATCCATATCTGATAGAAAAACTCATGCTCTTCATGCTAAGCTATCAGCATGTAAGAAAAGGCATTTGGAAACAGTTAGTGTTGGCTTATATATATGTTAGGGGTTGTTTTTCTGAATTTTAGTAGTCAGATTCCAGTTTCCAGCCCCCAGTTGCCCTTACCACAGGCTGTTAGATAACAGCCCTGAACAATCAGCATTTAATAAGTGCCCAGACCTCTGCAAGATGTAGAGAGCATCCCAAGTACGCAGACACTCACATTCTTAGTGGGGGACACTAGGATCCAATTCCATGGAAAGCAAACGATTTCTAAACAGTAGCACAGAACACGATTAAGCCCTCAGTCAGAGATGTGCTCAAGCAAATACCTGTTGGTACAAAATAGAGATAGAAGAGGCATGGAGAGGTGAAAGAAAGAGAGAAGGGCTTGAGGACAGGAGACCATGCCTCCCGTGGAAAGGGGGACCTGCTCATCAGGGCCAGGCAGCTGGTTCCAGGATGGGGCACAGATCTCAATGCACCAGATCTTTGAATTTTTTTAAAAGACATATGAAGTCCTAATTTTTAAATGCCATCACCTGATTCTTATGTGTTGGCAACTAAGTCAAACTCTCAAACATCCTGCAGATGAAATCATGCCACCAGGTGTCCAGGTTGGGAACTCTGCTCTGAGGATACAAGGCCATTATGAAACTTTTGAGGGATGCCTGGGTGGCTCAGTGGTTAAGCATCTGCCTTTGGCTCCGGGCGTGATCCTGGAGTCCTGAGATCGAGTCCCACATCAGGCTGCCTGCATGGAGCCTGCTTTTCCCTCTGCCTGTGTCTCTGCCTCTCTCCTTCTGTGTCTCATGAATAAATAAATAAAATCTTAAAAAAAAAAAGAAAAGAAAAGAAAAGAAACTTTTGAGTTGGAGTCGGTAGAGAGGTGCCTCACAGAAGAGGTGGGCCTGGAGTTAGGCCTTAATGGCAGGTGGAGAGGAGAGAGGGAAGGCATACCTCTTGTACTTTCCAGAGGGGACCATAGCCTCTGGCTTCGGCCCTTTTCTCCCATTTCTCATTTTTCAGTTCTCAATTTAAATAGCTCTGCCTCGAGGAGGCCTTCCCTGGCTGCCCCATTGCAGCTGCAGTGAGAGCGCACTCTACACCCCTAGCATCTTACACTGTGGCCAGCACAGCACTTGTTTTAACCCATCTGTCTGTCAGGGCACTTTTGTCTGCTCTTGGATTCACGGCACTTTTGTCTGCTCTTGGATTCACGGCACCTCACAGCATGATGCATAGTAGGCCCTCAGAGCAGACACAGGTCTCTGCTGAGTGAACACAGAAATGAGGGTTATTAAGCAGGGACAAGTACTGAGCAAGAGCATGAGTCAAGTCCCAGCACAGCTCCACCTCACCTGGGTCCTTTTGCTCTCCTTTCTCTTGCAGCAAGTCAAAACCGTGAGATTCCAGAATTACAGCCCTCCTCCTGCCAAGCAGTACACCTCCCATCCCACCTCAGGAAAGCCTGAACAGCCTGCCACCCTGAAGGGGTCCCAGCCTGAAGCAGCCCCCTCAGGCCCAGAGATGACCGTCCTATTCGCCCACCGAAGCGGCTGCCATTCTGGACAGCAAACAGACCTCCGAAGGAAGTCAAGTTTGGGCAAGACCATGACCCCGGTGCCCGCTGCCTCGGCCACACAGACTATGTTCCCCAGCAAATGAATCTACAGGTGGCTTTTCCCAGACCCCAAAGAGGTGAATTGCATTTAAATACAGTCTGCCTCCACTGAGGGAGTCCTGCCATTCTTTGGGTACTCAAACACGGGTCCTCGTTCTGTCCATTTTACCTCTGGGAAAGGAAAGGGGTGAGCAAGGATCCATGTCCTGGGTGGGAAGATAAAGCATGTGGCCTATGAACATAATGATTTGATGCAAGGCCACTACTCAGACCAAAGAGTGGGAGACAGTCTTGGCTGCCCTCTTCCCCAGAATGGAGTGTGCAGCCTCATCCCTTGTGTTCTGTATAGAATTTCTGTGGTGCCCTAAATGGGGCTTCAGCCATGGGAGTCACAGTGGTGGGAATGTTGGCATTCCTTCTTTGACCTCTTCACCCTGTTCTGAACAAGCACCAGAATGGCTTCTGCCATCTTTTGGAGCCCCAACACTGGCCGCCAGTGACTGCCATGGTGTTCCCTCCACTGAGTCATAATCCTGGCTGCAAAGGAGGAATCTGGGGAAGGATGTGTGATGGATACTCTGATCATTCTGAGAATCCTCTAAAACCAAAAGGAGTCAGCTTATTGGATTTGGTCCAAACAAGAAGGTCAGAGAGAAAGCTATGATCATATTTTAAACTTCTCAGTCTATTTTCCCACATATAATCCTACATGATAGATAAGCAGGAAGTACAGAGCTGCAGGCAAGGTCCTGTATGGAATTAGGGGTAATTCATTCATTCTGGCTCTAGTCTGACTTCCCCAAGAAAACACAGCATGCTTCAAAACTGTGTAAGGAGTGTGAGTTTAGATGTATATTTTATTTGCATTATGACATTATTTACTGTCTCTTTTATTTGGGATAGACTAGCTGTTTCACTGGGTTGTGGAATAGGGCAGTAAGGTAAAGGAGAAGATGCCAGTGCAAGGCTGCATTGGGGACACTTCCTGGAGGACAGCTGGTCTTACAGGGACGAGGCCAAGAAGGTTAGAGAGGGAAGGGGACACAGAGGAGAAGAGGGAGGGTGGAGAGAAGCTGGGAGTATGTGTGTAAGAAAGACAGGGCAGGGAGTATCAAGGAAGAAGAAAAAAGGGGAAGAAGAGTGACTTTGACACTCCTGACAATTGGGGACAGAAGGATGGAGCCTGCAAAACCAGGTGACCCCACAGAGATGGGGCTGAAGCAAGCACCATATAAACAAGGCTGAGGGGGCACCCCGGAGAGCTGAGGCAGTGTTGTAAGACAACCCATTAATTCTCATTAGACCTGACTGCTGTGATCTAACTTTTATTGCATGCCCATCAGGGTGGGCACTTTAGTGCATAAATGCCATTTGCCACTGAGCCTGGGTGTCATTAGAAAAAACAAGGCAGGTCTAATTAGACCTTTTTCCTGGACAGTTCTTGAAATCCTGAGATTAAAAACATTTATCTTCTACATACCCTCCCCCCCACACACACACATACATGCACTTGGCAAACTGAACTGTCCACATACTTTTCTGGATATTAATAAAATGAAAGCAAAACCATAATCCTGCCAAGGAATACTGCTCAGGTGTCAGAACTTTGGTGTTGGTAGAGCCAACATGGTAACAGGTTCTAGTGTTTCTGTGAGATATCACCCTTATCTGCTCCAAAGAATGAACATGACCAACTCCTTGCCTCACTGAGCTGAATATAATTATCCAGATGGAGAACTGGGACAAAGTCACAAGGACAGGGAGGCATCCTATGATTTGTCAAGTTCGTAAGCTGCTGCTTTACTCAAAAGAACACCCTCTATGAGTTTAGCAATCTACACCCAGAATGGCAGATACATGATATGACCAGCCAAGCAAATATTTAGACTGTGCCTCAGTAGCAGTGGATCCAGTTAATTTTTAACTGTGTAGTTGACAAGCATTGTGCGTACAAGAGTAATGAAGACAGTCCTTGCCTTCCACACAAAACAGAATATTCTTCCAGTTGCCCACTGCCTTTATAGGGTAGTCTTTTTGAGAAATGTAAACAACTCCAAAGGCTTGCTACCCCCATTCCTGACTCTTCACTAACACCCAGCATCACACTTAGTCCCTCTCCAACCAAACTCCATCTCTGTGGAATCATAGGAGGATTTGAAAGGAGCAAGAGAGTGTTTTATCCAAGTAAAAGTTGGAACTCATTGGCACCTCCAATCATTTATTCCACCAGTGGGTTTCAGACAGTTCCCATGTGTTGGGCACTGCAGTGAGGACAACAGGTACATCCTATCCTATAATGTCTGGTGTAACCTCATAAGGCAACTGTAAATAGTCCCCAGTACAGAGCCAAGGAAACAGGCCCACAGGGTAACCACAGATAGTAGCAGAGTGGTTTTGACAGCTGCCCAGGCACCAAGTTCAAGCTGTCTGACTTCAAAGCCCAACATGGGACTATGCTTTATGAATTAAGGGACCATCCTTGAACCCAGACCACTGGCTTCCAACTGCAGGGATATGACATAGTGCAATGGTAGCAAATGCAGGTTCTGCTACATGCAGACTGGGTTCAAATCCCTATTTACCACTTGCTAGCCATGTGATGTTAGGTAAGTCACTTAACCTTTCTGAACCTTGTTTTCTTCTATAGGAATGATAATTGTGCCAGTCTCATTGGGCTATCGTGAGGATTAACTGACATAATATTATGAAGTGACATAGTACACACCTCACACATGTCAGACTTGAATGCTTTTAAGGGAACAGGCCACTGAAATTCCAGGTGAGAAAGGCTAAAGGAATGGCATGTCCAGGACAGTGGTGCTAAAATGAAACAAATATTGCCCCATCACAGAGGTCAGAGCACAGGGTAGTCTGAGTCCTGAAGGATGAATAAGGAGTCAGATAGAAAAAGGGTGGGCGAAGGGCATCCCAAGCAGAGAAAGAAGCATTTAGCACTTGGATTTAAATGCAGCAATCAAGCCAAGTTCTCTTATAGTTAGAGGAATCCACTCCTTCGTGGAACATTCCAGAGATCCCAGGTGGAACTGAGTACCTCATATCTGAAGCCAAATATCCCAACCTGTGAGAGCTCCATCCCTCAGCCAAGACTCAGAGTCACTAGGAAGGTGCCTCTTTGCCTCATGATCGCCCCCTGGCATCCCAGGGCTAGGAAAGGTGCTGAGGGTAGGCTCTGATTGGGGAGTGCGGGGTAAGAGGGACATCTGAGAGGTGAGAGAGGGGCACAATCAGCTGAGTACAGACTCCTAGAGCCACACTTGAGGAAATGGTCTCCTTAAGCAGCATCAGGACCCGCACTTAGAGCTTGTCTATGTCCTTTCTCATGTGGGACCAGCTACACCTCCTCTACCCGCCATCATTCCACAGACAGGGCTTTTGGAGCAGAAACAGTTTAAAGCAGTGCCCCATCTGTGAGTTGGCTAAATCCAAAACTGACTCAATAAAAACATGGTGCATTGACTTCCAACTTCTCTTGAAAACTCAGAAGATCTGTCCATGCCAGGCCTGCAGTTCCCAAACAGAAGTGATGCAGTGGTACTGGGTCGGGGCAAGCTTTAGTTAGATGGACACGCATACTTAAATTTACTGCAGTGCCACCAGCCTGCTTCACTCACTCACATGACCTATACCTGAATTAGGCATGTTCTCCTGGAGTCTGTGTACCATATTTCACTGCACAGTCTTCAGGGATGCCTTGAAAATTAGAGGAGACCCTTAGAATCAGCTGATCCAGGCACTTGGGTCTCATGAGCATAGTAAGCTTAGTCTGGGCCTGACAGGGTATCATTCAGTAGTTTTAAGGTGGGGTCTAGGCATCTGTGTCGTCAGCATAAAGTGATCCTGATGTATAAGAACCAAACCTGTCTTTCTCGTATTGTACAGTAGGGTGGAAATGTATCCACAATGGTTGCCAATATATTGAACAACGCCTGTTATGATAGCTGAACAGTGGATGCTCTGAGCTCCCCAAGGCATCTCCCCACTCCTGCTCCCTGGCCCTTTCTCCACGTTCTCCCCATCACTCTACCTTCCAATAGCCAAAGGGCTCGGGCCATGTGCAGCTGAGACCTTCAGCAGTAAAGCTCTCCTTCGTTGTCATTGGCTGGTGCCTACACCACACTGGTCGTTGACTATCTTGACTGGTACCCTGTTATACAGAATAAGGCCTAGAGACGTCCTTCAGAGACCAAGAGCACTGCTCTCAGCCCAGCACTCTGCCCAGCCCACATCTGAGCCACTGCCCAGCCCCTGACAATTACTTCCATCAGGCCTGTGGCTCAGGACAGGAGCTGACTTGGAGGGCGGGCAGTTCCTTGCTCACTGGTCTGCCTTTTCACAGGTACCAGCAATGCCTTTGAGCTTCCCAGCTCCTCTGGCATCAGTTAAGCAGATATGGAAGTTGCTTGTTGCAATAAGATGAGTGGGCATGATCCTCACCCTCTCGCCCTCCTCTGCCCATACAGACCAGCCACATGGCCTCTGGACTCCCTTCCTGGGAAGTGAACACTGTGGCAGGCGGAAGAGCAAAGTCCTATCAAGTCTCTCCACTGGGAGCAAGTGCTGAGCAAGCTCAGCTAACCCAGGGCCAGCAGCTGCTGCCATGGGCACCTCTCTTGTTTACATCTTCACAGTAGAGACCCTAGTTTCTGCCTTTGGCTGAGGGAAGGGAATGTTAGCACTTTCAGCACCCTCTCAGGTGACCACGAATGACAGTCACTCAGGGAATGTGTTGGGCAGGCAAGACCCAACGACAGGAGTTAACTCCAAAGGTACCTATAGCAGCTCGGTGTCCCTGAGAATAAATCTTGTAAGGACATTTTGCTTGAAATAGAACAATGTTCAATGATCAAGCCATCAAGCCATAGTATAGTGTCCTGGACCAGAGCAGAAACAAAACGTTCTCAGGAAGCCCTTCTGTCTTTGACAAATAGAATTGGGCATAAGTGGGATCAAAGGTAGTGGGGGTGGGGGCATGAAGGAGCACTGCAGATTCATCCATCCATCCATCCATCCATCCATCCATCCATCCATTCAGCACCAGTTGTCCATCAGCCACTCT